CCTGCAGTTTCTAGTGCTTCGTTATATTTTCCTTACCGGCCACGAGAGAGGGTGGCTTCTTGAGGAATGAGGGATGGAGGGCAGAGGCAGAGAAAGGCGGGCAAGGTACAGCTGAGAGGCCCCTGAGCATCCAAACTGTTGAGCAAGGCTGGCCAACCATGGGCTACACTGATCCCGCCTTCCGCCAGCCCCCTGTCCCCGAGTGAATGCCCTTCCTTCCTTAGAGCGTCTGCCTTCTCCTGGGTCTGTGGTGACAAAGTCCATACACAGCTACCACAGTAGAAGTAGGCCTGTCTCCTCATTCTGAGACTGTGTCCCTGATCAAGGTGACCCATGCTTTTTCCATCTCCTAGACAGTCATAGAGATCCAAAGCAACTTGGCATACAGAGGGCCCTGAAGAGATCCCGGGATCCCTGGGGGAGGGTCTTCCTGAGTCTAAGCCTCACCTTCACCCCGACTGCCACCAGCTCTGACCAAAGTGTTCCATCCTCACCTGGGGCTAGGACATGCACCTGCCTCCCAGCCTGTGCGAACAATCCCTTGGTGGTCCCTTGTACCTGGGGCTGCTGGGATTTCGAAGGGGGATCTGCCTCAGCTTTGGGAGCAGCCCTGATGCTTGGTGTTAGGCTATGGATGCAGCATTCTTTCAGAGCTCTGCCACTGACCTTCAAGGGGGTTCTCTCTGGGCCTCTGCAACCAAATACTCCCCTGCATGCTGCCCCTGAGGGAGGGTGTGTGGCTGGCTACCTGTGGTCCCTCCCTTTTGGGTGGTGAGCCACGCTGACGTGGGCAATGAGTTCCAGTGTACAGAGGGGCTCCAGCACCAACAGCATCTCCATTCTCTGCTGGCCATGGCTGCAACCTCATCTTTAGCCTTCTCTTCCAGATCTGGCTGCCACAGCAGAAACTAACAACCCCAGCCCATCTTCCTGCCCACAGGCCTGGGAGGGTCTACCTCAAACAGGTACCTGCTGAGGTCACCAAGCGATGCCTCAAGATTGTTCATGCAGGCCGGGAGGCCGGATGAGGCTAGCCCAGGATGAGGATGGAGAACTGTGGGCAGAGTTGATGGCAGTCGGGTGAAGGTGGGTCTGAGACTCAGGAAGACCCTACCCCAGGGGTCCTGGGATCTCTTCAGGGGCCTCTGTATGCCAAGTTGCCTTGGATCTCTAGAGGACAGAGAAAGCATCCAGTTCTGCCGGGGCAGGGGGGATCAATGGGTAATCAAATGACCTCAGGCTCAGGCCCGGATAAGTCTGATCCTCAGGGCCCAATCCCTCTCTCCTCCCTTCATCCAGCAGGACCCAGAAGAGCAAGGACTTTCTCCAAGGGCACTAGGGAGCCACTGGGACTGATTTGGGTGTGCTGACCTGGCATGTAGGGCTTACCTGGGAGGTAGAACCAGGCTGAGGAGGACACACCCTGAGCACAGAGGTGAGGGAGTGTCCTTCATTGGCTGTAGGTGGCTGGGCCATCTCTGTCCCTGAGTAGACCCTGTCTTATACTCTCTCCACATGTACCCCACATCTACAGAGTCCTCCGAAAGTCCTAAGACAAGGTGCTAAGTTTGGGAGCAGAAAGCACCCCTCTGAGGAGAGGTCCCAAGCTCATCATCGTGGGGAGAGCTGTCACCTTGTGGGCCCTGGGAGACAGTGTGGGTATTCCACCTGAGGGAGGAGGGGTTGTTGCTACCACATCCCAAGTCATGGGGTTCCCCTGACAAGCTAAGGGTCTGACTTTGAGCCACAGCAGTATTCATGGGTGAGGTACCTGAGTCAGGGCAGACGGACCCTGATTCTGAAGCCAACTAGCCTGCTTTCAGACCTTGAACCCCTGTCTGCTAGGCACCCCAGTTTCTACCCCTGCAGCCATGGCTTGGGGACCCAGGACAAGGCACCCAGAGGGGCCACAGAGTGACCTCCGCACAGGGTCTGCCGGCTGGACCTTGCTAACAGGCTGCTCCCAAGAGCCCTCCCTGCTTTCGGCAACAGCTGTGGGACAGAGGCAAACACCTGGCCCACCAGGCCACCACTGGTCTGTGGGGCCTGGGATGGAGACTGTCCCAGCTCGCAGACCAACAATTGCAGCAGATGAGTCGATGGAGGGCTTGGGTAAACCCTGCTGCTTCCTCCACCTGGGGCCTATAGAACCTTTCAGAAAAGCCAGGAACATTCCATTCCCTCCGATGCTTCCCAGGAGGTCTTTTTGTTTTGGAAGACTGGCATGGGCGTCGGGAACAGCTGGACAGCTCTTAGGGGAGGGTACAGAATAGAGGCTTTGTCTGGGAACCCCTTTCAGAGGCCCCCATCAGGATTGACAGAGGGGTGGTCCCCGGCAGGGGAGTGCGCCTTGATATCACCAGGCTCCAGCTCATGGGACCCAATCCCGCTGTGGTTCATCCTCCTCTTTAGCCATTTTGGCAAGCCACAGATAGCACAAGCCTTGTGCTAACGCATCACACTTTCTTGGGGATCAGTCAGCTCTTGATGAGCCCCAGGCAATGCCTCTGTTGGCCCATTTCACAGGCAGGAAAGCCCATTCACCTATTGGAAGCATGGCCTTGAAGGCATGAATATCTCCATGTCAGGGCCTTCAGACTCAGGGGCCATCGGAAGTGGGCTGGGGGTGGGAACCAGCTCTTGTAGGCTGCCGACTGGAGATGGGGAGGATGCAGTTTTGCCAGCAAAATCCTGCAATTAGGAAGCGATTCACCATACATGGAGCTGTACTGGAGCCCCGCCTCTCCCAGGCTCAGACAGATGTGTGTGTCCTGCAGATGTGTTGTAGATTCCTGGAATGAAAAGCATCACAGAGCCAGCAATGTCTACCCCACCCATTACACTGTTACTCGCTCTGTACCCCGGTACCCACAGTCTGCTGCCTCTGTGGCCTGTGCCTGGAGTGTCCAGGCTGCCCCCTGCTGCTCAGGCTTGTTCCTCTCACACAGTCCTATTTAGGACCTGCTCACAGATGGCTTCACAGCTTCCTTTCTGAGGGACCCTGTGCTCCATACCCCAGCTTTCTGCTGTTGCAGTCAGGTGAGCCCAGGCTGAACATCCTGGGGCGTGGGAGCTGGTGAGGGACGGCATCTCGGGAACCTTCCTGCGGCATCTGAGCTCCATGTGGACTTCCAGTCCTGGGCTGCCTGGTCACCTTCCTGGAGCACCAGGAAGATTCCCTCTTCCCTTTCTCCCTCTTTACTTCTCTCTTCTCTTCCTCCCTATTTAGAGGCTGGGGACAGCAGGGGACAGCAGGGGACAGATAACTTCCTATTTGCAAGCAGAACTAGGGCCAGCTGCCAGGGCTTCAGTCTCTGTCCCTGCCTGGGAGGCAGCCCTGCCCCCTCTTCTACCTGTCTCCTTTTCTTGATGGAAGTGGCCAGTGGTCATGCTGGGTACCCGGGACATGACGACTGGTATGCCCTGAGGTCCATGAACCCAAAGGTGTCGATACTGAACTTTCACAGCTATCTGGGGTGGCCTAGCTCTATGCCAGGGTCTCCTCCACTTCATCTTCCTTGTCTGTCCCCGAGGGCCATAGAAGACAGGTCTTGTGATGTCACCTGAAGTCTGTGGAATCTGCAGCCTTCTTTAATGGTTCCACTAAGCCACTGCTCCCCGCCTGGACCAGGAGCCCTCCAAGCCTCCAAGCTAGGTTCCTGAGAAAGGCTGTCAGGGGCAGGAGGAACAAGCAGGCACTGAACACACACCTGGAATTCTATTTATCATTGTTTATTCAGTCAGCCTTTGTTACATAGCCCCGAATGGCCTAGCACTCACCCTGTAATCTAGTATAGCCTCAAACTCATGGCAGTCCTCCTGCGATTAGGAATTTGGTGGACCCATCATGGCACTGGCCGACTGGTAGCCATGGCCTGTGTAACTATCTCCAGCATTGTGGAGATAGTCCTGTAGACATTGCTAGATGGGAATATATCTGGGATCTTGGTGCCCCCTCCCAGGCCACGTTATAGGCTTGATTCTTGGCCACGATTCTATGGGAGGTAGCAGGGCCCAGTGAAAGGCCTTGGGTTGGAGGTGGCGGGGGGGGGGGGGCTTGAAAAGGTTACTGGCATCCTGGCCCCCCTTCTCCCCTCTCTTTCCTGAAACAAGTGGTGAATGGTTTCACTGTGTCATGTGCTCCACCTCGACGCACTCACTACCCCTCTGAGAGGCCTAGAAGTGATGCCTGGATTGTGGACCAATACCTCCAACATCAGCTGCACAGCCCTTTTCTCTCCATAAGCTGCTCATCCCAGGCATTTCTCACAGAGACCCAGAGCCTACTGGCGCAGCAAGGAAAAGAGCCAACTGCAGTTAGAGTGCTTCCAACCCAGTCCATGCCTCACTTGGTCCATGGTGGTCAGACTCTAAGCTCCGCCACTGTGAGGCTGAACTGGATGACCCTCACAGTGCTTATGTTAGATCCCAGCCCCAGCACTGGGCCATGCACAGCCCTGGCTCCAAGGGCACCCAGAGCATGGATCTCTGTTTTTTGGGATCCATCCTAGTGGTGGTCAGTGTACCCTTAGGAGTACACATCTGATGTCCAGACATGAGGGTGTCATCCCCTTCCCAATCTCTGAAAGGCCTCCAATGCCACATGATATTTCCCCTATTGGCCCTCATGACTCTACTGTGCCCCACTATGTGGAGGAACACTTGGGGCTCTCAGGTACTTCTGCCCATTCCCAGTCCCAGGCCTCTAGTGTCCAACATCTGGGAGGAGATGTGGGCTTGTCAGCCTTCCATGTGCAGAGCAGTGGATGGTGACTTGAGTGCCCTGGGACTTGGAAGTTCAGATCTGGGAAGCAACATGCTGCCCTCCCTAATCCTGGCCATTATATGGGATCAGTTTTCCATGGTCACCCAACAAACTGGTTGCATTTTTCCATAAGCTGCTGTGACCCTGCTATGAACTTGCAGTGGTTTTCTAGCACTCGCAACAGCATGTTTAACACACACGGCTAAACCCGAGCTTTGAATTTTTCATGCGGCAGGCTAGCGAAGGCACCTCATTGTTGTTGTCGTCGAGGGCTTTGATCCTCCCCCTCCCTCCTCCAGGCTGGAGGGATCAGAAATGCCCAGGCTGAAGGCACATCTCAAGTATTCCAGAACCTTCTTCAGGATGCCCTGCCAGAAATGTCACAGGAAATTAGCCAGAGCTGATGTCAGGCTCAAGGAAGCAACATTCAATCAGTGACACCATTCTCTCCCCAAATTGAATTATTCATCGTTTCCCGGTCTTAATAAAATAATTACTGCTCGAGTTTGCCCTCCCTTTGAGAGGGTCTTGCTTCCTATTAGAATGTGAAAAGGGCTAAGGAGGAGTTCTCCGGGGAGAGGGGAGCAGGAGGCCACTGAACGCCTCCCCCATGTCCAGCTCCTTCCCTCCAGCTCCTTCATCCGGATCCACCACCATCCCCTCCTAGTGACCAACGTCCAGTTGACTTCCAGCTGCCAGCCTGGACACCGAGACCCTTCTCCGCATGATGGCTGCAAATGCTATATGATTAGTAGGGGAAATGTCGAATGGCGACGATCAGTATTACAGGAACTCGGGGACTGCCATGATGTACCAAAGTAGGGATAATGACAGGTGAGATGGATGAGAAAATGGGAGTCTAGTATTATGGCGTACCAGAGGGTCCTATCAGTGACCTCACCGGGGATGCTGTGGAGCACACCAAGAGTGATGCTTGTCCTCTGTCCCCGTGGCTGGCGGTCACTCTCCAAGGGTGCAGCTCCATGCCTCACTCAAGCAGGGTGCTTAGGTCTAGTGCCTCTGAGTCTGTGTCATGACCCCACCCATGGGACCCAGGAGCACTCTGGTAGCCTCAGCATCAAGCCCCATGCCCTGTGGCCCCAGCCATGTATTCTGGCCACTCTCTCCACCTCCCGAGACAACAGGGAGACCCTGGGGGATGCTGTCTGCCTGCCTCAATTTTCCTTCTCTTGTGGCAGTTAGACACAACTAGAATCTGATGGGCTCCTCCAAAGACTCACCTGTCCAGGTGCATGGCTCTGGGGGATAAGAGTGAGCCTTCTAGAAAGGGCAGAGCACAAGCTCGGGAAGAGACCCCAGGGGCACCCCTGGAGAGCGTTTGAATCTGGCTCTGAGCTCCGCACCTTCTGGACTGCAGTAACAGTGAGATGAAAGGACACCACGTGACTTCTCTCCTTGCTGTGATTAGATACCTAACAAGAAGCAACACGAGGTGATCAGGTTTATTTTACACCCCAGTCTGAGGGTACAGTCCAAAGGCGTGGTGGCAGGGTAGGAGACAGGTCAGCTGGTGTCAGCAGTCAGGAGACAGGGAGATGAGCACTGGTGCTCAGCTTGTTTTCTCCGTTTTGTTCAGTGAAGGATGCAGCCGGTGGAAGGTGACCCCCACATTCAGAGTGGGTCTTCTCAGTTAACCCTCTCTGGCCACACACTCAGACACCTCAGAAGCCTGTCTCCTAGGTGATTCCAAATCCAGTCGGGCTGCCAATGCAGAAAAGGGAGCCCAGAGCAGCCAGTGGGGACCCTACATTCATCCCAGTTCTTTACCCAGCAGTAGGGTCATGATTCTTTGGCCTCAGTTGTTTCCTCTGTAGAATGGGTAGAAGGCTATTGTAAATTAAAGTCTGGCTTCAGTGACTGGATGTGGGGCTAAAAGTGCCAGCCTTTGTCTCATGTTCCTGCCCCCGGCAGTGAGGGGGCAAGAACTGGTATGTAGAAAATCAGACAGGAATGGGGCCATCCTCAGCACACTCTGGCATCCTGTCTTCCTGTGCACCATATAAGTCCCTACAGCCCACATGCCTGCTCCAGCCACCACCTCAGAGACTCCACGGGCAGACCCATTTCTTGTGGGTCTTGTGGACTCTGTGTCCAGTGTCAGTTCTAGCACTGAGGGGAACTCTGTGGATAAAGGCCACTGCTGATGCCTGTGTCTGTCTGAGTGGAATGAATGAGTGCATGTAGTGGGCACTCACTGAGTTGAACTGCCCGTCACACTATCCTCATGACAACCCCTCGGAGATATCCTGAGTAAATGACCTACATTCCAGGACCTCAGTTTCTTCCTATATAGAATGGGCAGAAGGGCATCATTACCTGAAGGTGAGGAGGGTTTTAAGTGTTTGGGTGTGGGGCTGAGAGTGCTGGCCTTTGGTCTGTGACTCTTGCAGTGGGCCAGTGACCCTGTGAACATTCAGGGAAACTAAGTCACTGGTCGTACATGACCCAGGACTGAAAGACAGAGGCCAGGCACCTGTCCAAGGAAGCTGACCTCCAGACTCAGGCTTGATATCATGGCTGAATCCCTTCCTTCCTTCCTTCCTTCCTTCCTTCCTTCCTTCCTTCCTTCCTTCCTTCCTTCCTTCCTTCCTTCCTTCCTTCCTTCCAGATTATTTATTATGTATACAGTGTTCTGCCTGCATGTATTCCTGCAGGCCAGAAGAGGGCACCAGATCTCATTACAGATGGTTGTGAGCCACCATGTGGGTGCTGGAAATTGAACTCAGGACCTCTGGACGGGCAGGCAGTGCTCTTAAGTCCTGAGCTGTCTTCTCCAGCCCAGCTAAGTCCCTTTCTGAATGCAAGATTCTAGGATAGTGGCCCCTGAGTCATTAGGATAGGCCACGCAGCCTGGTCATTCAAAGGAAATAGGCTTGTGTGGGGACTGAGTTTTGAACTCAGGATGTATGCAGGTGTTGACTGTGGGGATAAGGCCACATATTTGCCAGGTATTTGGCTTCTAGAGCTCAAATCACATATTTTAAGCATGGATTGATGGAAGAGATTCCCACACACTTTAGATGCTTCGTGTGTGTGTGTGTGTGTGTGTGTGTGTGTGTGTGTGTGTGTGTGTGTGTGTGTGTTGTGATCCCTGGGATAAGGTAGGGGAAGCCTTGGCCCAAGGGTTTCAGGGACGAGCTCACTGGTGTGGGTTTACACCTTGTCCTAGCTGTAACAGTACACATTGGAGACTGGTAAAGCAATTTGTTGTTTAACTTTGGGGGATGAGACCAGTGATTTGTGCTTATTGAATTTAGAAATGGCGAGAAGGAAAGTTTGGTGGATCTGGGGAGACGCTGTCATTCTCATCCGCAGCCCTGGAGTGTGGCTGCGTGCATACAAATGGCCTGATTAATCTTTCAGTGGGGGGCCTCGTGCTCACCAGCCTGCCGCGAAAATCTCTGCCTCCCCATGCTGCACTGGAAGTCTGGGAACAGGCGGGAGGAAATCTCCAAGCACGCATCCCCACCCCCAGGAGACCCTGGAACCTGAATAGGGCCATGGTGGAGTGTCTACTGTGTTTATTCAGCATTAACTCATTCATCAATGATGCACACAAGCTTCTACACTGGACCACGGTGAACCAGAGATGCCACAGTGAACTGGATAAGTTTGTACAATTGGGAACTTCACAGACTAAATGAGTAAAAAGGGTGCAAACAGCTTCCCTGTCAAGTGGCATCAGAATACTGTAAGCCAACCAATCTTCATGGAAGAGTTGTCATGGGTAGGAAAGTTGGAGAAGGCTCTGTGGATTAGCATAAGTGGGAACTTCAGTGATGGTCTGTGAACACCCTGTTGGAGAAGGTACAACCAAAACCCTTATGCCCCAAGGGGCTGGGGCTGTCCAGGGAAATGAGCACACCAGTTGGTTGAGGTGGTAGGGCAGAGGCATTCAAGAATGCCTCACTAACAAGAGGGGCCTCAGTCTTAGTGCAAGGAAGCCATTGGAGGGTTTGGGGCCAAAGGGGATCATGTAGGAGGATTGTTTAGCAGAGCAATGGGTTGAGTGGATTGTTGTGGAGTGAGGGACAGGATTTGTGGGAACGTCACCTCCTTAGGAGTACCCAAAACTGTACTCTGACCATGTTCTGGAAATGTTCTGGCTGCCTGGGCCAGAATCCCCCATGACCTGAGCTCAAGGACCAGCATTATCCTCTGGGGACAGAGCACCAACTTGTGATCTCAACTGCCAAAGTAGAGGCTTCACCTACTTCTCTTTTTTTTTTTTTTGGGTTTTTCGAGACAGGGTTTCTCTGCATAGCTTTGCGCCTTTCCTGGAGCTCACTTGGTAGCCCAGGCTGGCCTCGAACTCACAGAGATCCGCCTGGCTCTGCCTCCCGAGTGCTGGGATTAAAGGCGTGCGCCACCACCGCCCGGCGACCTACTTCTCTTAAAAGAGGTTAAAAGCTAAGCAAAAGCAGAGAGAGAGAGAGAGAGAGAGAGAGACAGAGACAGAGACAGAGACAGAGAGAGACAGAGAGACAGAGAGAGACAGAGAGAGACAGAGAGACAGAGACAGAGAGAGACAGAGACAGACAGACAGACAGACAGACAGACAGAGACAGAGACACAGAGAGGCAGAGGCAGAGGCAGAGGCTGGCCAGTGAGCTAGCCTGGGACAGGGAAGCTGGGACTGACAATGGCAACCTCACTTCTAGCTGAGGCAGGCACACAATGGACCAGTGATCCAGGTCAGAGTCCTGACCATGCCACTCACTCTCTACAGAATCAGAGTAAAGAAAGAGCACAGCCCTGGACTCAAGGACCAGGGAAGTGACCGTCACTAGCCTCTCACTGCGTGCCAGGCCTGTGTGACCCCAACCATGGTCTCTGAGGCCTGATACATGGGCTCAGGTATCCGTGTGTGGCAGCAAGGCTGAAGGCAGATGTTAGCTCCCCTCCCACTGGGAGCCCTTCCATCACCAGGGTGTCAGTCAGTCTCTGCTCATCCAACACTTCTCTCTTTTTAATGGAGCAGAATGATACCAATCTCTATTCTCTTCACAGTGTAATGTCGGTGGCATTCTGGCTCCCCCAGGATACCAGGGAAAGGTGTGACATCTCCCCAGGCACCAGCACACAGGCTTCCCTCTGCCATCATAAGGATGGGATGGCAGCATCTTTGGGGATCTCAGAGCTGGAGTTTTCTCATTTCCGCTGATTTTAATGTTGCCGCCATCCCAGGAGCCCTGTGCTCGAGATGAACAGGCACTTTTCCAGTTTGTGTCTTGTTCTTTTATAAACACACATCCTCACTGTAGAATACAGAGCAAACACTGCAGGGGAAAAGTTTACCCACAATCCCACTCACAGAGGGGAATATAACTCGCTCCTCGCAGTAGCCATGCACTTGAAATGACATTGATGTGCACTCTGCAGACCTGGTGAATGCAAGTCATATGGAAGCATGGTCCTCAGCTGCAAAGCTGGTAAGTCCCCAGCTGTGTCCTCCGGCCATGGCCCAGGAAGGCCACTGGGGC